TGTCAAACAGAAACACCATTCACTGAAACTCTGCTTTGAATTGTAAAATAAAAAAATTCAATAAAAATAAGACATTATTTAATTAGAAAGCTTTTAATTACTTTTATAAATAAGATTTATTAGGGACACTATTTTCTTTTGAAAAAAAATTTTGTTTGATGTATAATGAATTTTTACAAGAATTGTTTACTTTTTTTCAAATCTTAATTAGAATAATTTGGCCTTGTACCATACTAAACTAAGCTTAGTAAATACTGAGCTGATGTGGCTTAACTTCAGTAATTGTAGGAGAACTGGTGTTTTAACATAATATGGCCACAAGCTATACTAAGCTTAATAAATACTGAGCCCAGGATTAAGAAGGATGATTTTCAAGGCAGGCAGGCCCTCCCCCTTTGGAAGATTGACACATCAGTCTTCCTATCTCCATTTGGCTTTGTGATATACTAAACTAAGCTTTGTAAATACTGATCCTAAGTAAAAACAAAGATTAAGAAGGCTGATTTTCAAGGCAGGCATGCCTTCCCCACATGGAAGATTGGCACAACACTTCCTCCCTCCATTTGGCCTTCTCCTATACTAAACTAAGCTTAGTAAATACTGAGCCCATGTAGAAGAAATGATTAAGAAGGATGATTTTCCAAGCAGCAGTCTCTCCCTATTTGGAATATTGGTACAACACAGTCTTCCTACCTTCATTTGGCCTTGTGTCATAGAAAGCTACACTTAGTAACTAGAATTAGCCAATCATTAACCTTTTTTGTTTTTTAAATGCTTTGACATAATTACTCTATTTGCATAATTTATTTCACATTTGAGACAGACAAAAGCTTGTTTACTGACAAAGCTGTTGGCAAAACCGAATCAGGCCATTAATTGATTAATCTATTATCATATCCTTTAATTTTATTGGTTGAACATTAGCCAATCATATTTCTATGAATTCTTCTACATTTGATAAAAGTCCTTGATCATTTTCTTGCCAGAGTGAGATGTTGTTTTTTTGCTTGACAACAAATGAGAATTTCATAAAACCTTACTTTTTACCAAGAGTTTTATTTATATTCTCTCTCTCTCATTCCTTCTATAGGCCACCACCTCCTCCTCCTCATCATCATCATCATCCCTTCAGGACATGAGTAATCCTGGTGCCCATAGTCTCCAGTCTTTTATTGCTGTGTTTATATTAGGTTGATGTAAATATTTCCAGTAATTCTTTTATTAGCTTTAGATAAATAGTAAATGGTTTTATTAACCATTAAAATATTTTTATCAACTTTCTATGGCTTTATTCCAATGTCCCAGAAGTTTTTGAATTCCATCCTGATAAAATAACTTTGGCTCCAACATAATTACGTTGTTAATAAAATTTTACAATTCAAAAAACTTTTTGGTGACAAAGAAAAAAAACTAAATCTTATCTGGAAAAAGAATTTGTGTTCTTTGTGCTGTTTTTCAAAAATCAAAACCAAGATCGGGTCTACCGTATTTTCTTGTGTCTAATACAAGGAATTTTAAATGAAAATTAAAGGTAAGGTGGGGATCCTATTATACACAAGTGTGACGGTTACACACCTGGCCCAGTGTCGGATCCTTTTGGTTACGGCGCCAACGGTGACGTCGCTCCTCCTGGTCGCTCCTCCTGGGTCCAAGCGTGCCGCCCAACCCTTTGGTCAGATGATCACCAGCCTCGCCTTTCCCGACTCGCTTCCAATACCTGGTCACTAAAGCAACTATACCGATCTCCGGTCTGTCTACCCACGCTGTGTTTAGATCTTAGACAGATGGGGACCAGCAGGGATCGGGCCGATATGTTGAGTCCGACGGGGGTGGCAAAACACAAATAAAATAAAAACTCACGACACCAAACAAAATTGTTGATAAAAAGGGTAACAACCTTTATATCTTAAAGTCCGTTACATAAAAAAAACAAAAGTGTTCTCATTTCCCGACCCGCTCTGTGGACTATGGCACCAAGCTTCTATCACACAATAGAAAAATGTCGAATTACCTACTTTCTAGAATCATGTATGTATGTCGGAGGTGGTTCAGTTCGACACTGGGGCTAATTTCTATCGATCATTCGTAGTTGATTCTTCTCTCCGACTTGAGTTGTATTTCTTCTTCTTCGTCTGCTTGGGCTGGTAGTTTTCCTGTTTCAACTTGGTGGAAGATTTCTTGTTTCAACTTAGCCGCAACTCTGTCGTCTGAGGTGGTCTTTCACTGCCGTCCGAGCTGAACTTTAACTTCTCATCGACTTTCGGCTTGTCTGCAGCTCCAATTTTCTTCTCAGGCTTTCAGGCAATCTTCTTCTTCATCTACTTGGCTGGAAGTTCTTCTTGTCTGAGGGTTCTTTTTCTCGCTGCCGTCCGGGATGCACTGATTTTTGTCGATTGGGGCCCTGCTTTTATTGACGCCGCAACAAACTGGGGTGGGTCTGTCGGCGTCAGGGTTTTCTCGATAATTCCAAAACTGCATTAATTCTGTCTTCCCATTATCGCTATTGTTTTCGCCCCTACTTCCTCGCAGTACCTTTTGGTGGGGCGGCGATATCCATCTCTCTTAGTCTCTCGTATGTCAGGTGACCGCTTTTCAACCAATCGTTCCTGATCGAGCATTTCTTTCCTTTTCTTCCGCAAGTCACGTGATCGTATTCGACCAATTGTTATTGGTCGAACATTTCTTTCCCTTTTCTTCCGCAGGTCACGTGATCGTATTCGACCAATTGTTATTGATCGAACATCCTCTCCCCTCTGTTTGCGGGCGTGGTTACATCGTTCTTGTTTAAAAAAAACAAAATCCAATTTTTCCCTTTTTGCACGTACGCAAAATGACAATCTTTGGCTTTCTCTCACCTGGACTTTGTCAACAGCCCGCTGCTAATTAGTCTTGACTTTAGAAAGGATCTTTTCCGCCTTCTTGGCGCCCTCTGTGAGCCAAAAGCAATTGTCCCTCTTTTACCTCTTTGTTTTTCCTGATAGTCGAAAATCTTAATTATCTACATTGAAATGTCTCTACTTTATTAACGTGGGTGTCCAATTCTTAACAGGTCAAGATCTGTATATCGTTCCACCGGTAACTCCCCTCAACCCAAAAAAACACTTTTCTCTGTTTAAAAATTTCATTTCTATTGTTCTAAACCAAATTGATAAGAGTCTCTCCACGCAAAAGTCGGTCAGATGCTTTGACGATATCTGGTCTACATCAGCGGCCCGTTTTGATATCATGTCTTTTTTTCCTTTTCTTTCTTCTTATTATTTATAATTCTATTCTTCCAATTGTCTTTCGAAAATCGGCCAAGACGCTGACCTAAATCTCTTTCTGACTCCTATCTCCACCCTCAATTGGGTCATGCGTCATACATTTCTCTTTCTTTCTTTTTCTTCCCTTCCTTCCTTTTTCCTTTCTTTCCTTCTTCTTTCCTTAGGATCGTCTAGTACACTCTTAGTGAATTATTTTCAACTCAGTTATTTTCCGTTTTTAAAAAAAAATTAACAACCTGTTTAATAAACTGAGTAAGAAAAAATTAAATCATATTTCTAGGAATATTTCTAATAATGCAAGGTGCCACACAAGTACACATATTCAGAAATTTTTACTCAGCATAAAAACCCTCTTGGTTGAAACAGAAGATTGCATATCTACTCACCACAATAGATAATAAAAAGTAAAGTAGGCAGATGTTGATAACAATTGTTTACAAAAGATATTTAATATGTCAGCCATATTTGTTCTTTGGGAATCAATGTAATTGAACATCTTTTGTCTTAAACACAGGAAATTCACTGAAATTGATTTAAAAATATTAATAAAGGAAATACACAAAATCTGTCATATTTTGATAATGTTAATGTTACAACAAAGCACTTTTTCCCAAAAATTTGACATTCTAATGGATAATATGGTACATAATTTTAAAAAGAATTTATAGAGGGATGGCTTTACTACAGGGTAATATTATACTCAAGGATGTAATTTATTTATTCTCTGCTTTTAGCTTCAGAAACATGGGGTTGTATTATATGCAAGAAAATATGGTACTTTAGGAAGGCCTTAAAATTGGTAATTTTTGCACTTATCTACCGGTCTCAACCAACCACAGCCTATGCTAATAGAAGAATGCTATTTTGGATGACAGCAACATTCTTCATTCCTCATGAGTGAAGAAGGTAGTTGTATGTTGCAAGTCATGGATATAGATTTTTGACCCCTTCTGAATTTTATGTCCCTGTTATTTGTGACTTTTGACAAGCTTTGGAATTATGACCCCAGATTTCTGGTTTGGGATCTGAACCCACCTTTGCTATTTTCCCCACACAGTTTTATATTTTTTACAATTTAAAATGCTGAATTGGTGGTAAGAAATATTAATACAATGGTGCCAAGTCTGGGAAATATGCCGCCAAGTCTGGGAAATATGCCATGTGAAAAAGAATTTTCTTTTGATTGATAAAATAAGAAGTATTGCTTGTGCATTATTGCTTCTTTATCTTATAAATTACTTTTTCTTCAATTACAGACATCCTACTCTAAAACTGACACTAACTGACAATTTATAATCCATTTTGCCTTTCACATTCCACCAAATAAAGAGCAATAACTTTTTTTCTCCAAAAGGGTTAGGTTTTTCTTTTAATAGCTCCACCCATGATTTCAACATTTTTCATCCGTGACAATTATGTCTGGCTAAAACTGAAATGCACGTATTGTGCTCATGCTTTTTTTTTTTTTTTTTTTTTCAATCTTTGCACTTTGCATACATTTTACAAATGTTAAGGTTTTTTAGACCATTACAACATTGATTGACTTGGGGGCATTGTCATCATCTAAAAGATGTTGCAAGTCGGCACTTTCAAATTCTTGTGGGCAACCTCTGCATGGTTTGTCTTCAAAATCAGATTCACCATTCTTGAACTTTGCAAACCACAACAATTTCTGCTCCTAACCAACAAGCCATTTTCTTTGTTTCTGTCAATGTCTTGTCCAATTTGAAAAAGAAAATGCAATGTTTACACCACTTTTTCTTGTTCACCCTACACTTCTTTTACCTTTCCCCTTTTTTCTTGTTTTACCTCTCCTCTTTTTTCTTGTTTTACCTCTCACCTTTTTTCTTGTTTTACCTCTCACCTTTTTTCTTGTTTTACCTCTCACCTTTTTTCTTGTTTTACCTCTTACCTTTTTTCTTGTTTTACCTCTTACCTTTTTTCTTGTTTTACTTCTCACCTTTTTTTCTTGTTTTACCTCTCCTCTTTTTTTCTTGTTTTACCTCTCCTTTTTTTTTTTTTACCTCAACTTTTTTTTTTTTTTTGTTTTACCTCTCCTCTTTTTTTTTTTGTTTTTACCTCTCCTCCTTTTTTTTTGTTTTTACCTCTCCTCTTTTTTCTTGTTTTACCTCTCCTTTTTTTTCTTGTTTTACCTCTCCTCTTTTTTTGTTGTTTTTTTTTTTCTTGTTTTCCTCTTTTTTTTCTTGTTTTACCTCTCCTCTTTTTTTTCTTGTTTTACCTCTCACCTTTTTTCTGGTTTTTACCTCTCACCTTTTTTTCTTGTTTTACCTCTCCTCTTTTTTTCTTGTTTTACCTCTCCTCTTTTTTTCTTGTTTTACCTCTCCTCTTTTTTTCTTGTTTTACCTCTCCTCTTTTTTCTTGTTTTACCTCTCCTTTTTTTTTTTTTCTTGTTTTACCTCTCCTTTTTTTTTTTTTTGTTTTACCTCTCCTTTTTTTTTTTTTTTCTTGTTTTACCTCTCCTTTTTTTTTTTTTTTGTTTTACCTCTCCTTTTTTTTTTTTTTCTTGTTTTACCTCTCCTTTTTTTTTTTTTTTGTTTTTTAATCCTTTTTTTTTTTTTTCTTGTTTTACCTCTTTTTTTTTTTTTTTTTGTTTTCTCCTCTTTTTTTTTTTTTTCTGTTTTACCTCTCCTTTTTTTTTTCTTGTTTTACCTCTCCTTTTTTTTCTTGTTTTACCTCTCCTCTTTTTTTTCTTTTTCTTTTTTACCTCTCCTCTTTTTTCTTGTTTTACCTCTCCTCTTTTTTTCTGGTTTTACCTCTCCTTTTTTTTTTTCTTGTTTTATCTCTCCTCTTTTTTTTTCTTGTTTTACCTCTCCTTTTTTTTTTCTTGTTTTACCTCTCCTTTTTTTTTTTCTTGTTTTACCTCTCCTTTTTTTTTTTCTTGTTTTACCTCTCCTTTTTTTTTCTTGTTTTACCTCTCCCCTTTTTTCTTGTTTTACCTCTCACCTTTTTTTTTGTTTTAACTCTCCTCTTTTTTTCTTGTTTTAACTCTCCTCTTTTTTTCTTGTTTTAACTCTCCTCTTTTTTTCTTGTTTTAACTCTCCTCTTTTTTTCTTGTTTTAACTCTCCTCTTTTTTTCTTGTTTTAACTCTCCTCTTTTTTTCTTGTTTTATCTCTCCTCTTTTTTTCAGTTTTACCTCTCCCCTTTTTTCTTGTTTTTTTTACCTCTCCTCTTTTTTCTTGTTTTACCTCCTCCTTTTTTTTCTTGTTTTGTTTTACCTCTCCTCTTTTTTTCTTGTTTTACCTCTCCACTTTTTTCTTGTTTTACCTCTCCACTTTTTTTCTTGTTTTACTTCTCACCTTTTTTCTTGTTTTACTTCTCACCTTTTTTCTTGTTTTACTTCTCACCTTTTTTCTTGTTTTACTTCTCACCTTTTTTCTTGTTTTACTTCTCACCTTTTTTCTTGTTTTACCTCTCCTCTTTTTTTCTTGTTTTACTTCTCCTTTTTTTTTTCTTGTTTTAACTCTCCTCTTTTTTTCTTGTTTTAACTCTCCTCTTTTTTTCTTGTTTTACTTCTCCTCTTTTTTTCTTGTTTTACCTCTCTTTTTTTTTCAGTTTTATCTCTCCTCTTTTTTTCAGTTTTACCTCTCCCCTTTTTTCTTGTTTTACCTCTCCTTTTTTTTTTTTTTTTTCTTGTTTTACCTTCCTTTTTTTTTTTTTCTTGTTTTTTTCTCCTTTTTTTTTTTTTTTCTTGTTTTACCTCTCCTTTTTTTTTTTTCTTGTTTTACCTCTCCTCTTTTTTTCTTGTTTTACCTCTCCTCTTTTTTTCTTGTTTTACCTCTCCTCTTTTTTTCTTGTTTTACCTCTCCCTTTTTCTTGTTTTTACCTCTCACCTTTTTTTTTTGTTTTTTCTTGTTTTCTCCTTTTTTTTCTTTTTTAACTCTCCTTTTTTTTCTTGTTTTAAATCTCCTCTTTTTTCTTGTTTTACCTCTCTTTTTTTCAGTTTTATCTCTCCTCTTTTTTCAGTTTTACCTCTCCCTTTTTTTCTTGTTTTGTTTTACCTCTCCTCTTTTTTTCTTGTTTTACCTCTCCTCTTTTTTTCTTGTTTTACCTCTCCTCTTTTTTTTCTTGTTTTACGTCTCCTTTTCTTTTTCTTGTTTTTTCTTGTTTTACCTCTTTTTTTTTTTGTTTTACCTCTCCTCTTTTTTTTGTTTTTCTCCTCTTTTTTCTTGTTTTACCTCTCCTTTTTTTTTTTTTTTCTTGTTTTACCTCTTACTTTTTTTCTTGTTTTACCTCTTACTTTTTTTCTTGTTTTACCTCTCAACTTTTTTTCTTGTTTTACCTCTCAACTTTTTTTCTTGTTTTACCTCTCAACTTTTTTTCTTGTTTTACCTCTCCCCTTTTTTCTTGTTTTAACTCTCACCTTTTTCTTGTTTTAACTCTCCTCTTTTTTTCTTGTTTTAAATCTCCTCATTTTTTCTTGTTTTAAATCTCCTCTTTTTTTCTTGTTTTAAATCTCCTCTTTTTTTCTTGTTTTACCTCTCTTTTTTTTTCAGTTTTATCTCTCCTCTTTTTTTTTTCAGTTTTATCTCTCCTCTTTTTTTTTTCAGTTTTATCTCTCCTCTTTTTTTTTTCAGCTTTATCTCTCCTCTTTTTTTTTTCAGCTTTATCTCTCCTCTTTTTTTTTTCAGCTTTATCTCTCCTCTTTTTTTTTTCAGTTTTATCTCTCCTCTTTTTTTCAGTTTTACCTCTCCCCTTTTTTCTTGTTTTTTTTACCTCCTCCTTTTTTTTCTTGTTTTGTTTTACCTCTCCTCTTTTTTTCTTGTTTTACCTCTCCCCTTTTTTTCTTGTTTTACCTCTCACCTTTTTTCTTGTTTTACCTCTCCCCTTTTTTCTTGTCTTACCTCTCCCCTTTTTTCTTGTCCAATCTCCCCTTTTATCTACCTACCCATCCCCCTTTTTTCTTGTTCACCTTCTCCCTATTTATCCCCCTCTAAGCAGGTTATATAAACATTTAATGGAGAACACTCAAAAACAGTTTTTAATACTGTGTATTCAATCTTCTTTTTAAAAAAAGTGGGTGCTGGTAATTTTCTTTTTTCCAGCACCTTATACTACAGGAACAGGATAAGGTTATTAAATTTCCTGACAATATTGTAACTGAAGGCCCAAAATATTATTAGGGTCCCAGGTATTGGCAAATACACCCCCCCAAACACTGAGAAAGTATAAAAATACATTTTAATAATAAAAATACCAGCAATAGAATTTTTATATAAAAAAAAAAAACCAACAATACATTTTATCTGTAGCTGAAGGCATACAATTGCATTCAACATATATTTAGTTGAATCCATAAAATTGTGTTCAAATTATTTAGATTTCAGCATTAAATAACCCATAGGGGTTGATATGCCGCTAAACAAAATCAACCAATCAAAACATTGTTTATATAATATTTCATGCTTTCTTGATAAATTTACCCTTTCTTACATGAGGTTTTTTGTTATTTTAATTCCATCTAAAAAATGTAATATTCATTCCCCAAAAATCTGATAAAATATTGCTTCTTCCTTTTTTTTGTTTTTTGTTTTATTTAAATCAGAATCACTCCAAGGAAGTCAGTAATGCCACTAAAATACAAGGGGTTCCATAGTGTGGACGAATTAATAGCAGAAACATTAATGATGAGCAGGAAGAAAAAATAGTAATCAGGTGGCATTTAAATTTTGCAGATTAAAGTTGGCTGGAAATCATGGAGCCAAAATTGAGTTCCACAAACAATTGATTTGATAGAGTCACTCTACTTCATGTCGCAAGAAGGTGCAGTAAGTTGATCACCTGGAGTTTAGCATCAGCTATACTGATGGCAGGTAGAAAAAAGTTCTCTGTGGTGATTAAATAAAAGCAGTTTTCTGGCATGATACAGTGAATCAATTAAATCGGAATAACTCCAAGCAAGGCAATATTGCCACTAAAACACAAGCAGTTACAGAGTGTGGAAGAATTAGGAACAAAAACATTAATGATGAGTAGGAACACAAGATAGTAACCAGGTGGACAGTAGATAGCAATTGACATTGCATTTAAAATTTTGCAGATTAAAGTTGGTTGGAAAGCATGGAGCCAAGAAGTGTAAGAGAAGAAACTGTTAGCATAGAATTGCTTGATTCAGAAAGCTTTTTTTTATTTGCGATCTCACAAAGTAATGCAAACTGGGATCTCTAGCCATGGTTGGCAACCAGTCTAGGAGAAGGACAACTGTGAATTCACAACCATATGTAACTCTGACGAAGCACAAAGTTAAACTGTAACTAAGGTCTGCTCAGTATAGTTGCAGTATAAACCACAGGGAGTGCTGTGTGGTTGTTGAAGAAATACAAATGCAGCTGTGCTGATGCTGAGAAAGATGTTTTTCATTATGATTTAATTATTAATAAGCATAGTCTGGCACAAGGGTCATAGTCAAGTGCTCATAAATGATCAGCCATACTGAATGTGAGAAAACACACAGATTTGTAGTGTGCCTTCAAGTTGAAACAGCTCTGACGATGTTGTAAGGTGACCCAAGACCTAACCCAGAAAAGTTATAAGCAGAATAAGATCAACAAAACTGTATCTGAAGAAGGCTGGGCAATTTTTGTTGAAGTACACATGAATTCAATATGCATTGATCAGTAGAGACAGATATGAACAAAATGGCAGACAAGAAACATGATAAAGATTAGCCGATGAATAATCAAGTGTGAGAAAACCAAATATTAAATAATGATTTAGTGATTTTCAATATCTTTGGTGTTGGCAAAAGTTTCCAGTGTTTGAATTTTTTTTTTTTTTTATGTTTTTGAGAAATATTTATTTTATGTTTTTTGAGAAATATTTATTTTATGTTTTTTGAGAAATATTTATTTTATGTTTTTTGAGAAATATTTATTTTATGTTTTTTGAGAAATATTTATTTTATGTTTTTTGAGAAATATTTATTTTATGTTTTTTGAGAAATATTTATTTTATGTTTTTTGAGAAATATTTTTTTTTCTTGTATTGTTTTTAGTAATAAAAATAGCATAATAAATTTTACACAAATGTTTATTCACTTCAGAATCACATTGTATATGGCTTCAGGTTTTTCTTCAAACATTCAATCTTTTGTTTGAGATGTGTTTTTTTTTTTGTTTTTTTGTTTTTTTTCATCAATTCACCCCATCAAAGCAATAATATCACTAAGGTGCAAGCGCGGGGTACTGAGAGTTAAAGAGATTGCACAATCATTGTCGTGTATTAACTGGAGCTCTGTTTCCCATTTGTTGACTCTTGTGTAAACTGGACATTTGTCTACCTACTTGTGTAAAATAAGACCTTTATGTCTATTAATTTATTGTTATTTTTGTCCCCAAGTAAGTTTTGTATTTGATATGAAATAAACCAACAAGTATTGATATGTCATTAAATTAACTATCCGTCATATGATATTGTTTTAGTGAAGTATCTCATCAGTTCTTTCAGAATATTCATAGTTTCCACTGCCTTCATCAATATCTACAAAACATTTTGATTCACTTTCTGAGCCCCCCAAAATTTTTGTAAATTGTCATCAGCTCATCCAAAATGTTAGACAAATTCTATCAACAAAATAACAGACAAAAATATTTTTAAATACAAATGTTACATTTTATTTAATAATAATAAATAAAGACCGAAGGTAAATTGGGAGTGTGGATTTCATAAAGTTTTTGTACCTACTCTATATCATATATATATATATATATATATATATATATATATATATATATAGAGAGAGAGAGAGAATGGAAATAGATTAAATCCAGTATATTGTTTTACACACATATATATATATATATATATATATATATATATATATATATATAATTTTAAAAAAGAAGAGAGAGAGACAACATTTTTTTGTTATAATGTGTACTTTTTTTAAAAATATATATTATAATCTATTTTTTTTAAAAATCCATATTATAATCAAAAAGTGTGTGGGTTCCCTCTTTAAAATATAAACTTTTTCCTCATTGGAGCAACTATAATTGCTCCCTTATATATATATATATATATATATATATATATATATAATCGATTCTCCCGTCGAGATACGACGTATGAGGGTCAAGCAGATCAGTTTCAGGAAACCGACAGCCCGACACCGCACATGAGATTTGATTATAGTGGTGAAGGCCTCGTGCAGGACCATCCACACTTTTTGAAGGGACGAATACAGGGACCTGGTGCACCGAATGCCACAAGGTTCCCAAACGACCCTCCGCAGGTTTTAAATTCAGAGTTGTCCTTCTTCTAGACCAGTTGCCATCCAAGGCTATAGAACCCAGCTATGGGTAAAATAGCAGGACAGACTGGGATATATATATATATATAATTATTTATTTTTGATATATATATTTATTTATTCAGGCCTGAATGTTTGAGAAAAATTTCTACTCTCTGGCAGTAATTTTCTTTTAATAAGATTTCTCAAATATTCAGGCCAGTAGATGAAAATAAATATACTGTTTAATAAATACATTGAGTGTCTACTTGTATATGAGTAGCCACTGATAATAATGTTTAAAATGATAAAAAAAATCTGTCAGATTAATTAAAATCCTTTACTTTCTTTAGAAAATTTGCATCTCTGTCTTTTTTTTTTCTTTTCTTTTTTTTTTCTTTTTTTTTCTTTTTTTTTCTTTTTTTTTTCTTTTTTTGTGTGTCTGTTTGTGCAATATATTTGTATGTGTACACACACACACACAGTGCGTAGTTGTTAGAATGTTCACTTTCCAACCATGAGATGAGGGTTCTAATCTCCTCCTGCTCAATTTGTCACAAAGGTGCCTTCTTGATGTTATTTGCCTGGGGAAGCAATCCCAGTATGTGGCATTATTGGAAAGCGCCTGACAAATGAAGTGACTGAACTGTTTGAAAGCTGTCAATAGTTGTGCCAGCACAAATATGCAAGTCATCGTGACTGAATGTTTGAACTTACTGCCATTATTCAAACTGCTGATCATGACAGATTATATGCTCTTCCCACCAAACTGTAACTAAGGTTTGTTTAGCATAGTTTCAGTATAAATATTCAATATTGGCTCTGGCTGTTGAACAAATGTACATGTGCCTGAGCAGGGGTCTGTGACAGAGATTGGCTAGCCAAACTAGCTGGAAGGTGTGTTCAAAAAGCGTATATATATATATATATATATATAGTTTATGAAAAACTAGGTAATCCGTATGGGTAAACCTAGGGAGGATAAAATCCAGAGAGCTCAATATATATATATATATATATATATATATATATATATATATATATATATAATATTGCTAAAACTTACCACCCCTCTCCTTCATATGTAAAACCCATTTACAGCCTCTTTCTCTTTACTTCCCCCTTCTTTCTTTTTCCTTTTTCTTTTCTCTCTTCTCTCCTCCCATTTCAATATATCACTTCCGTTAACTGTTTAAATGGATCAAGGTCTGGTCACTCCTCCTCTTCCAATACTAAGTATGATTAGAGAGATATGAAATTAAACCCCCCCTAAACTCTACCATATCTCTCTAACCTCTCCTTATTACACTCTCTGTTAAATTACAAAAACTTACACTACCCATCAATTTTCATTTCATTTTTTGTTTCTTTTTTGGAAGTGCTATCTGATGATCCGGCGTCCATTAAAAGGGCTCTGGTGAAATAAATTATTATAATGGAACCTTAAAGTGGTCTGTTTTTCTTTAAAATATATATATATGTGTGTGTGTGTGTGTCATATATAAATAATTCATATTGTCCTTTTACTGATATATTTTAGTTATATCTGAAATTTTACACACAGAGACATATATATATATATACACCATTTATTTTAAATGACAAATATATTTTTAAAATTAAAAACTGTAATCCCAGTAAAATATATAACTGTGTCTATATTGCAGTAACCTGATATTTTTATTAAAATTTAAATTACATAACAGTCAGTCTATACTCA